ACATGCGAAAACCTCCGTCTTTTTTTGGTGTGAACAGTATCGGTGCGGCGAACGGTGACGAGCTTGGTCGAATAAACTGCTTCTCTAACAGGTAATCTCACTGCTTCCTTAACTCGTCGAGTTCGGGCTGTGTCAGTCGAAATTGCCGCTGTACTGTTGGCTGTGCCCCCGGTTCTAACTCGATCCTATGGTCGTGCGCCCGCTGAGGTGGCAGTCCCGGTGGTAAGTCATTCGGAAATATCCCCGGGAACCGTTTCAGTAGTGCCTGTAATTCGCTCGGTACGGCTGCTAGCAGTTTCTCTAAATCACTCTGCTGCTCGTCTTTTTCTACGATTGCGATATCCACTGCGTACACGTCAGCTCCCGCAGCGACAGCCCGTTTCATCGTGATGGCGTTGACCTGGAGTGTCGAAGATTCGGGTGACCGCCAGCGAGGTAGAACGACCCAGTTACCGCTACTTCGCACTGTGCAGCTCCCCGTCGTCCAGTCAATCCGTGGGTTGTACCGTCGCAGCCAATCACGTCCCAATAAAATGTCGTGCCCATCCAGTGTCGTTGCGAGCATTTCCTGTATAAATCCGAAGTTTCCCCCACAGCGGACTTTTACCCGTTCCACCTTTTCTCGTATTGCCAGGGGCGTGCCGTCGACTAAGCGTGCATCTATCTCAGGTAAGCATCGGTTAAGTGTCAATTGTAACTTCCGTGCGGTCGCGGTATTCACTAAGCTGTGACTTGCTCCTCCGTCAATAAAGATCTTCACTGCTGCTCCCTGTATTTTCCCGTAAATCAGTACCGGGCAATCCGTCGCTGTACCCTCCTTATTCATCCGAGCCCGATCGATGGCGTGAATCGGTACTGTGACTCGGTGAGGGTCGGTGTGGTTGGGCGAGCAGGCAGTCTCGTCAGTAGTTGGCCCGATTTCTACTGACTGCTGGCGTTTCCCTGCCTCTGAGACTCCCTCCCCTGCTCCGCTCCTCTACGCCTCAGCTCCTCTGGACATTCGCTCTTGCGATGGCCCGGCCGATTGCAAGCAAAGCAGCGCCCTCTAAATGGCGTGGCAGCTGCATTCGTTGCGACGGCATGTACAGTGGCGTGCTCGATCGTTCCCCGAGGACGATGTCCGAAATAGGACCCCGGTCTCGGTCGGCGTAGGATGTCGATTTTCTCGGCGAGCGCGAGGATTTCGTTGAAATTCGATAGCCCGCGTAGCATTATCTTGTGCGATATGTCCGGCTTCAGTCCTCCGACGTAACGGTCCACCCGCTCCGCCTCGTGCATGTAGCCGACCTGTTCGCAAAGTGCGAGAAAACCGCTGGTGTAGTCTTGAACCGACCCGAGCTGGCGCCAAGTGCGCAGTCTCTGACGCGCCGAAATCGAAGCCGCAATCGGCTCGAAACGCGCCCGAAGTCCTGCGCACCACGCATCCCACGTGCTGTATTGGGCTGTTTCGCAGAACGAACTCCAGGTGACAGCTGGACCCGAGGGCCCTTCCTCGTGCGACGGTGGCTCGTAGGCGCATGGCGACGTCACGATGACTCGCCACCAGTCCATGGCGGGGCCCCTGAGTAGTGAAACCGCATACCGAATTTTGGCGGCGTCCGACTCGACGTAGTTGGCGTCGAAAAACACATTCATCGTGAAGACCCACGATTGAACTGTCGGGCCACCGCGTTGGCTTGGGTCGAAGCAGGGCGGGCGTTGCGGCTTGAGTGGCATTGGGGCCATCATGGCGTTCTTGCCACTTGTCGTCGCAAACTCCACGTGCCGACGGGCTTCTCGGGGCTCCCGTGGGCTTAATGCATTTCTGCTCCCTCCCATGCCGGGCATCGGTTGGGCTGCGCCGTCACTGGCTGCGCCTGAGCGCTGTCCCGTGCTGTTGTGTTGCGTTGGTGTGCCGGATGAGATTACAATCGGCTCCTCCGAATGTACAGAGACATTGGTTGGTGCGTGGGATGTCGTCGGAGCATTCACCGTTGATTGTTGGCGGGCGGAGTCACGTTCCGCCGTGAGCGTCGCGATTTCGAGCGCTGATTCCTCCAACTGTCGCACGAGACGATCGAGTTGCTCCTGCGTCAGCGTGGCGATAGTGAAATCAGCCATGGCAGGGGTGTCGGGCAAGCTCAGCGAGAGCCTCAGTCGTGGCCGTGCGTGCTTCCGAGAGAGCACTACGAGCGGCGGTGCTGTATCGCTGAGAGACGTCTACCCCCCCCAAAAAATTGAGATAGTGGGAAGCGAAGGTGTGGATGCGGTCCGAGATGAGATCGTAGGCTCTGAATACCAAGTGTTACGAGTGCAATTGAGTGATCGAACGAGAATTGCACTATCGAAGCAAGAGTACAATGAGCGAAGGCATGAGCGAAGGATTATATAGCGAAACAATAGTGGTAACGGTACTGGACTGTGGTTGTCGCGCGACGAGCCTGGGACTGAGGTTGGGAAAGTGTCGAAGCGTAGGCCCGGAGCGCGGGTTACCAGCCGAGCCGTGAGGTCGGGATGCGATGTGCGAAAAGGGCGGGATGATGAATGATGCGATGGTCGCGAGTGGTAACGGTGCTGACTGAGGTGCTACAGTGATGTACGCGTTGAGCAGGGACGCGAAGTAAGGAAAAGGGAATTTCCTTACACAAGCAAACATCAACCCCCCCAACATAAATTGGCCCCTGCTTTGTTCCGAAGCCTCAGCACGTTGCAATTGCCGCTAAACGCGTTGCATCAATTTCTTGCAAGCAAAATCGAGTTCACGAGGGCGAAATTCTGCTGACACAGCTTTCGCGACATCGCTTCTTCCTCTTGATCCCACTACTTTCCCAAGTAGACCTGGTTACATAGCTTGATTGCGACTATGGCCTTCAAGCGACTCCAGTTCCTGTTGGGTGAGGTTTCTTCTTCCAGAACAAGCACCCATTCAGCCTGGTTTTCAGAAGCCCATCTTTCTTTCCTGACATTTGCTCCACTCGTCCCATCCCGTACAGGCTTCCTTCCCGTTATCCTCATCGCATCTATCGTCGTCCGTAGCACTTGCGCCGCCGATCATGGATTCAGAATTCAGAGCGCCACGTTCAACGGTAGTAACTTGGAGTCAGTGGCGTTTGCTGCGACCAAGACTCGCACATCTAGGAGGCTTGGCATCCTCCCGTTCCCCGGCTTTCTCAAGTGTAAGTTCGAAAATTCCAGACTCAATCCGCGGTTCCGAACCGCATACATCACGCCATAGAAAAAGCTTCAGTAGCCTTTTTTCTTAAGTATACGGCAGCTGTTAGTATTTGCGGTCGCGGTCGCAGTTCCTTGCTGATATGCACGGTCTCCACCAGAAAACGTCTCCTCCGTTCTCCGCTCTACTACTTCTGATTTATTGTAGCGCGGCAAAGTGAACGCGTGCGCATTTGGCGCCTAATGTTTGGGCAGGTGCGCTGGTGGCGTTCGAACGCGGACGTGCAGCCTATCTTCGGGGGGACACAACGCGGACGGCTTCTGCATCGCGAAATTGGGAAGTGCGGAAAGTAACCCTGAATACACTCTTGCACAACTTACCCGATAGTACACCCCCGGCACTTTTGAGTCAAGGTTTTAGAACTGCGTGGCGACCGTCACTGGCGTAGTAACTTCCGAGTCACTTTCCCGCGCCTTTCTGCACAAACTCAGTCAACCGTTTAGCAACGCCACCCGCATCTGCGCACATGCTAAATAGTCACGGGCTGCTCCACCCAAATGTTCACCTGCCCATACCGTGTCAACCAACTCGAAAGCGACGAGCACGTAACCCCAACTGCCAATCCGTACGGGCTTCCCCACGTGGCATACTGTTTCAACTCCCACGTCCACGTAAGCGTACATGCAGCAAAACGTACAGCAACCACAACCGTTGGATGGACACCCTGGTCACGCAATCACTACGGTACACGTGTCGCCTGTACATAAACTCGCATAGCACGTTACGCATTCGCGCACACAAACTCGCACATCCTTGCAAGCTCACCGCGCTCCGATCTGCACCGTACATCTGGTGGTCAAGCATCCTTCCCACACCGTACATTTGGATGCATCCCATAGGGCAGCAAACCGCATATCACGCCAACGGTAGCCACTACCCCTCATCCACGCGGCCTCACTCCACTTGCGCATCGTGCGTCCGCACCAGACGCGCCAATGCATAAACACCGTACACCTGAACCAATGCCACCGTTTCGTGCACTTCGCGAAAAGTCTCGCCTACCATTAGGGTTGCGCTCGCAACTAGATGACGACGACACCTGCGTCGTCCATCTGTATACATCGTAAACACCACCGACCTTCCACGTCACGCACAATTAATCCATCTTACCCGTACACTTGCAACCCGATCATGCAATCGCACAAACGGTAACCGGTTGCCCTACTCATCGTGGCTCACGTTTGCGACGTATGCGCGAACCACTCACAACCGTGCATTTGTCGCACCCGTATAGCATATCACAGCGCACATCCCACCGTCGGCCTCATCTTCACGCTCGTCCACGATTGTGACACGGGTGTACAAGCGCGTGCCACCCTCCCATACCATTGGCTCCACGTCATCCCTTAGCCTTGTTGCGGTCCAACCAGATGTCCACTTACGCGCACCGCTGCGTCCTTTACGTCCAACGTACAGGTGACACATGGCACACACCGTAAAATTCGCCGCAGAATGCGGCGCATCCCTCTCCGTCCCGCACATCTGGGCGACGGCGGGTTCGCTGTGGCATGCACCATATAGTTTCTGTTATGTGCTGTCATATGCGAGCAATACCCCAATTGAAGCTTTTCCCATTAACAACAAACGCACACGCAAACATACAACGCCTCCACGCCTATGTCTAACCCCCCCACATCTTCAACACTGACACATGCTTAACCCAGGTGCGCGTTCCACAGCTACACATAACCCTGTCACACAGCCGCAAATCATCGTACACACGCAGCCAATCTACTGTCCCCGCAACGGTAAAACCCACGCTTCCCCCATCCCCTCCACGCCAGCCGTCCTACTCATCCCCCACGGATGCCGAAAGGTCGTCGTCCCCCACTGGCTCCTCCGGCTGGGCTGCGCCGGCGGGCCTCATGTGCTCCAGGCCGCACGCAGAGATGCGCAGACCATGGCGCCCCCAGATCCACGCCTCCCGCTCCGCGTCATACTCCGGGTTGCAGATCCTGATCGCCCTCTCCACGGCCTCCTTAACCAGGACCTTGAGGCCGTCCACAACGTGGGCGTTTCCGCCGGCCGAGTTGGAAAGCCGGCCTTTCCTCTGCTCCCAGTAGAGGACGCAGTCGGAGACCTGCGCCATCACGCATCGTGTCACTCAAATGGTCCGACGTAAACAACACAGATGCATGGCACACATAGAGCGCACAGACTCACCACATGCTCCAACCAGGCCAGGTGGTACACCTTCAGCGTCATCACCAGGCCGGCCTTCTTGGGCCTGAATGCAGCCTTCGCACATGTCGCGAACGCCCGAGAGGCGAACGGCATGCCATCCCGGTCTGTCGCCCATGTCGTGAGCACCAGTGTTTCTGCATTCCCACGTGCATGCAGGTCAGTGTCAACGGCCGTCACGCACGAGGGTGACAGCATAACGATGCGGTGGCAAGCCTGGTTGCTGGGGTAGACCGCACTCACCAGGGGGGTCAGCGCCGAACCCAATGCGCTCCCGGATCTTCTCAATACTGCGTTCCTTCTCCGGTGCCCATGGGCTGGATGCGTCCCGATCGTCGCGGAACAAGCCGAGCTTGGGAAGTGCATGTCGCGCACGCGGGCGGCAGCCCGCGTCTTCCACTCAGAGAGTGTCTTGTTGAGATCAGCGCGACGCGACTTGTCAGCCGCCAACGCCAAACAGGCGAAGCTATGCGGCAGGCGGTCCAGCACCGCACACACCCCGTGTGTCTTGTCGTCGCTGCTCGGGTAGAAGGTCATCATCGACGTCGGCCTGTTGAGAAACATGTGCACCCTGGCCAGCTCGCACACCCGCTGCGCACATAAGGTATACACAACAACATGAGTGGCGCACACCGGTATGCATGACGGTTGAATAATGGAACCGGACGGGAACGGGCCCGCTCACCTTCCACGCCTTGTCCGCAGGCAAATGCTCCAAGGCGCGCTGCAGAATAGGAGACTTGGCCGTGCGCATATGACGGCCACCAGATCCATGTGTGTCGTCATCGTCGTCCTCGCCGTCATCGTCTGACCCGCCACTCCACGTCTCGCCACGCTTACGCTTCGGGTTCATACAACCCTGCCCCGGGTCTCTCTGCCTGGTCGCCTTACGCTTATGAGAGCCACTGGACGGCCGAGACATCGCATTCAAGAACAGCGCCTCCAACCGCGCGTTCTCCTTGGCGCTCTTGTCCTGAGCCTGAATGAGTTGCTCGAGGATACGGCTCGGTATGCGCACGTCATCGCTGTTGGCGTCCACTGTGTCCCAGCGTGTGGGTCCCACCAGTCCGTCCACGTCGTGATTAGCGCGAGTGTCAGCGTTGGCCGCGGATGGTCCCGCACGCCCATCGTCGTCCGTCTTCCCCCCCTCAGCGGGCTCGGCTGATTCTTCGCCTGATCCTGATGCCGACGTGTCTCCGCCTTCCTCGTCCTCATCCTCGCTGCGCTTGGACGAATCTGCACTCTCCGCCCCAGTGCCGTCATCTGTGGGTGACAGAATGACAACAGGCGCACAGAACCGCAAGTTAGCATACGCGCGCAACAACCGCCGCGAACGTCGTGACTGATCCACTCATGATCGTAATGCATACCTTCCTCTGGCTGCACCACCTCCTTCCCCTTCTTGCGGAAGCTCAGGCTCTTGGGTAAGGGCGCCCCACGGTTCCCGTTGGACAGTCGACCTCGCGGCATCGTCAACTGGTATGACGCTCGCAGGTACGCAGGCGGGAGCGAGACACGACGGGAGCGTCCCCCAGCTCGGGTATCCTCAGAAGCAATTGAGGTATCCATTGAAGCAACTGAAGTATCCAGTGAGATGCGCACATAATGACGCGATAACCACTTTTCTACGTAGCGGTGAGATGCTCAGCTTCCATGACACTCCGCTGCACCGAATACATGAGGAGGTTGGTACCCAATACTGCCTCGTACACATCTGGATGACCGCAATCCAAAACCCCCAATTACAGAACACCACGTCACTCGCACATTGACGGGTGTCCACCCCCGAACCATACACTGCGCAACTGGAGCGACATTCCGCGCCGAATCGTGGAGGAGGAGGTGCAGAGAGAGGTGTACCGTGAGGTGGCTGCAGACGCCGGCGGTGGGCGGCAGTATGCGTCTGCATTGCGCGAGGTGCGTAGGGGAGTGGTTGGTGCTACGATGGCCATTCATTGTGTAATGTTGCACGGGTGCCCATGTACGAGCGGAGCCTGAGGCAGGTTGCAGCTTGTTGTGGGAACGTGGTTGTACACGTGCAGGCAATCAAGACGAGGAAACCGGTGCTTACAAAGAAGTATCGGATCATGCGCATAGGCGGGGCGTCGGATCCGGTGTACGATGAGTACACAGCCGCGCTTGGAGACGAGATGAAGGGGATGGCCGCGGAGTTTAAGGCGTTGGACCTGGCTACCAACAACGTGCAGGTGTGGTGATAATGCTGTCGCACATACATCTCGCACCTGGGGCTTGCACGTTGGTTGCCACTGCACTCATGATGCTAAGAGATGTTGGATTGTACACAACCGCGTGACAGGTCCACACCGCGGTGGCCATTCCGCGCACAAGAGGCGGCGAGCTGGTGGCCAAAGGGACGTTTGTGAAGGCATCTCCACGAGAGAGGTGGTACTCGAACGTGGCACTTCTGAACAACAAGAAGGGGGACTGGTATGCAAGATGTCTGTGCATCTTCAGGGCGCTTGACCGTGATGGGGAGTGGAAGGGATACGCATACGTGAGGTACTACGAGAGGGCGGGAAGCTGCAAGCTTACAGGGTGCACGCAGCTGCACAAGAAAGTGGAGAAGGTGAGGTATTCGGTGGTGGAGCTGGGCAGCCTGCAGAGAGTTGTGCACGCGTGCCCGTCGTACAGCAACAACAAGGTGCAATTAGTTAACAGGTTTTTGCTATGTGAGTGACGGCACGTGTTGGTATGGTGGAACTTAGGAATGATGGGTACAGGATTGCAGGGAGTGTAGTCAAATGTGGTGGGATGTTTATACTTTGGGTGGTTCAGGTTAGTGTTGACGCTGATGTGTCGCCACATATTGTGATGAATAAATGTGATATGGTGTCCGTGGGTGTACATTGGCATTTTGTGCATGGGTACGCGGTGGCAACCCTAAACCCGAAACGTATATGTTGGTGTTTAAACAGTGAGATTATAGTGGTAGCGGTCAGTAAACCCGGCCTATAACGGGTCTTGGTACGGTTGACGCTTGTGCGGTCGAAGTTGACGCGCTTCAATGTGTGGTGGTGTGACCGACCGAACACCCGCCGTTGGTTGGTCGGATACGGGTGACGCGTACGTGGCTTCGATTCGCGAGGTGGCCTATCTGAATGTCACAGGTGGCCGTTTCACATGTGTCCGTTATCTTGGAGTGGCGCAGGAGTTGTGCTCGCAAGATGGTGTGGCGCTTGTCAACCCTCGTACGTAGTGTGCGTACGAGGGCAAACCGGGGTACGTTCCAGTGAACTACAACGTATATAGCAAGACTGGGTGCCATCCCCCAACGCATACTTGCCCACCTGGGTGACACACAGCTTCAATGGGTGACCTGAAGGGACTGCTGGCTACTGCGCACCCGGACGATGTGTTCTGCTTCCACGAGATTAATTTTCTTCCGAGCCGCCTCCCGAAGACATACATTCCAGACAAGCGTAATGTTTGCGAGCGGATTGTCAGCATCGGCATTCTTTACAACGCGACGGGCAGTTGTTCCGCGGTGCCACTGGTGGTCCTATCGCCGTACGATAGGCCCGAGCGCAGGCGGGGGCGCGCGGCATCGCGCATGGTGGCAGTCCGATATACGCACCGCGGCCGGTTGACTCCGGAGGTAGGTGACAATTACACCTCGCTGTGCACCATGTCTGTGTCATGTTTGCAACGTACATGTGTGGGCCGACACACTGATGGTGTTGTGCTGTCGGTGTATGATGCTATGCTCGCAGGTGTTCACGGAGTTTGTGGAGACTGTCAACGGTGTGCACTTTAGTCGTGATCGCAACACACTCATCCTAACCATACACGAGGCGCATCGCATCACCGACGAGGTCGCGCGCCCCGTCTCGGAGCACGGCTTCAGTGTGCAGCACCTCACCAACACCCGTGTCGTCAACATACGTGGGTCGGTTCCCGAAGGGGGCCTTCCGCACCTGCAGGGAGTGGAGGACGCGCTGAAGGCCCATTACCGCGTTATGCTGATGAAGCGGGCGATCGCGGCGAAGCGGTTCCAGTTCGACTATGCCGCTTCTATCGCCGACGTGGACTACGGACTCATGCTGGAGTGGCTGGGGGAATCGTGGACCCGTGTGCGCGCTGCAACCATGCAGAGGAGCTGGTGGCGCGCCGGATGCGTGCCGCCGAGCTGGCCGCCGCTGATGGCGTACCTGAACGACACCAGCGCGACGGGCATGTTTGAGCCGCTCATTGCGACTTGCGTCGAGCTGCAGTTGCTCATCGAGAAGTTTAAGATGAGGCCTGCGTGCTACATGACGGCGGCGGAGTTCGTCAACTGCGACGCGGGGCTCTGCGTGGAGCAGGGGTTCGTTGCCACACCTGCTGCAAGCGCGTCGGATGACTCGTCGGGCGAGATGAGCCTGCCAGACGGCCCGCTGCTGCGGGACGAGCGCAGCAGGCGGCGCGTCATTTGCAACGTCACAAACGCGTACGTGGAGCGTGCCGATGAGCTCGGCATTCCCCCGGCCCTCGTGCCAGCAGAGGTCGGCGCATCTAACCAGGAGGTGATTTCCCGCCTCGGCAGGACGCCAGTTAAGCGTGCGCGAGCGGGGCTGCGCACGGAGGACATGGCAGGCCCTTCGGAGCGCAAGGACGAGGACGACGAGTGATGCAGTTGGTTGAAGTTGTGCGGTGTGTGCGTTGTGCGTGGTGTGCGTAGTTGGCGTTGTGTGTGTGCGGTACCGTACGCCTGTGGATGACGGGGTTGGGGTTGTATTGCTGTTGTAATAGTGGTTGGAGGATTTTAATGAAAATGGATGAGTTGGGGAACCTTGTGAGACATTTGACGGTACGCGTGAACTTCGTTTACGGTCCGATGTTATAAGTTGACACAATGGACGCACCGCGGTCACCATAACGCGGGAATTTCATCGGGAAATTTGTGCACACGTTCGCGACTCGGGGTGTAGGTGTGCGCTCCGGGAATTCGATAGCTTTGCGACAAGGAAACTGTAATGTCAGTTTTTTGTGTCTGATGTACGCGCGTGTTTCCGGTGTTCAGAATGTTGCGATTTGCGTGCGTTGTTTAATCGCAGCTTTCCGCAACATTCACGCAAGGCAGAGGCAGAAAAACCTTCGGGGGCCAAAAAACGCAGTTTTCCTTTTTCGCGATGTGAGACGTCTCAATATGCTTCTGTTGTGCCGTGCCGTGCTGTGCTGTGCTATGCGGCTCTGTGTGGTGCTGTGCGGTGCTCGTGTGTGGCAGGCGCGCTGGTGGCAAATCTGAACGCAGGCAATGTGCGGTCCATCCTTGGGGGAGATCCCGGTGCGGACGGCCTGGCACTCATTCAAGTGTACAGGTGAGCGGCGCGGGGGATCTGATTTCGAGCAAATTGCTGGCTTATAGTATATTGGAGGATCCTGGTGCGGATGGCGTGGTGCTGTTTACTAAGTGCACGGGTGAATTCATTTGGCGCTGGAAATTTCTGTGGTGAAGACTTTATATACGTATGCCTCTCATCCCCTTTCCTCTACTCCTTTTTTGTCCTCCCAACCACTCCTCCTATTCCCTTCTCTCCTCCCCACCCCTTCCTCTCGCCTCCTTCTCTCATTCTCGACCCCTCCTCTCTCAAAAGGTACAACGGGCAGACCAATGTGAACATTCGCGTGCGAGCGCACGCCCTCCCTGTCCCCCTGTCATTACGGCGTATGAATCAACTCAAATTCTTTCTCCTCTCTGTTTCCCGCCCACTCCCCCCCACCAAAAGGTACAACGGGCAGACCAACGTGAACATCCGCCTGCGAGCGCACGCGCTCTCCTCCTCCCCCATCGCCCAAACCGTCAACAAAGGCCTACTCAGGCAGCAACGGGGTGCCTGCGTGGGTGGCATTACCTATAGTATCTCATCCCCTTCTTGTCTTCCTAACACCTCCTCTCGTCCCCTCCTCTCCTTCACCCAACTCCCCATCAACAGGTACAACGGACAGACCAACGTGAACATTCGCCTGCGAGCGCATGCGCTGTCTTCCTCCCCCATTGCCCAGACCGTAAACAAGGCCTATTCAGGCAACAACGGGCTGCCGGTGTGGGTGGTGTCAGGGCAGTGGGCTCGAGACAACAGCAACGACGCATACACACTGCAAAAGTGGTACTATGAGGCTAATAAGAAGTACCCTCCTGGGTCTACTAGTTCCGTGTACTCTATTGTTCGGGCGATGGCCGGGGATCCGAGGCGGTACTATGCGGTGGTGAGCTCTGTGACCCGGCCGCTAGGGGCGATCAGGGGGCAGTTCAGGAGGACCCTGCCGTTTTTGCTGTACCCGTGGAATCCGTGCTAGAGTGGCTTTAAGCGGGGCCTCTTGGGATTTTATATGCTGCTGCTCGTGCTGCACCCATGGACAGGGCCCTCTGACTAGTCAGAAATTTTTCACGCTTCTGTCTTTCGCATCAGAAATTCTAACATTACTTGGCTTAAAAATCAGATTTTGTAACCCGTCCCTACTGTAACTACAACTACTACTCAGCTATTCTCTACAAAGAAAACATATCAAGAATAACTATCTAGCTATCTGAGTCAGAGTCAGATGCCTCATTGTCACTCAGTGTAACAGTTGCACGCACATCCACTCCTTCATCCTCACTGTCGCTATCTACTATGTGAGTTTTGGCTTTCTTCCTCTTGGCTTCTCCGTCGTCATTGGACGGCGCTTTCTGAGCTGTCGTCTTAGGTGCTAGATCCTCCCTGTCTCCCTGCCTCCCTGCCGCTTCCGTCTCTGCCTCCCTGCGCTTCGCAGTTGCCACTCCACTGACTTCTTTGGCAGGGCGCCTCTTCTTTGCCCCGCGCCACAGCTTCACCACGTTGTCCCAGTCTGGTTCGTAGTCAAGCAGGGAGATGCACATGAGGTCGGAGAGTCGCGCATTGCAGAGGTTGTTCCTGAGCCACAACTTGATTACGTTTTGGCGACTGAACCCTCGCTCGCACTCCACAGTGCTGAGCGGAAGAACAACCACTGCCACCCAAAGTCGAACCAGATTGGGGAAAGAAGACTCCCAATCCCCGCTCCTGAGCATGTTCTTAAGTGCCACGTGGAAGGATTGATCCTTGTACTGTGACACCATCACGCGGGTGAAACGTGGAAGCTCCCGCTCGGCCTTCTTCCAGTTGACTCCTGCAAGCACACAGCACATCTAGTTAGCATCCCACTATGTAGACGGATCGTTACACAAACAAGGGATTAGGGACAACGCGGAATTTGAAAACACGTACCTGGCAGAGCGCACTGCTCGGCGTTGAACATCTTGCGAAGGGAGCTGAACCACTCCGCGCACAGACGGTCGCGCTTGTCCACGCCATCTGGATAGGCGTCTGGCAGAAATAGCTTGGACCCAACGAGAGACTTCAAGCTTCGCATGCGGTACTGTAGCCTGCTGATCACCTCCTTCGCAAATAGGGTGGCGAGGGACACGCAGGACTCGACGTCACCCGAGGGATCCTCTTTCTTCTTCGCATCCAGCTCGTGCAGCTTGAAGGTGTGTTTGACGGCGTTGCCGTCTCCATCCATCCCCTCCACCTGGACCACCCGCTTGGACGGATGGGAGTGCGCTTCGAGGAAGGCAGTGAGGTGTTCGCTGTCCTCCGCAAAGTTCACCCCGTACTCCACATAGCGCGCGTTCAACTTCTCGCAGGTGTTTTGCACCTGCCCCATGACACGGGTGATGTCCACCTGCGACATCATGCACAAACACAATGTTAATCACTGACATTCGGGACTAGAGCGAATTTCAAAATCGGCGACCGTTAATTACACGCTCACCGATCGTCGCTGAAACCGCTTGTTGAGCTCGTTCAATTCCTTCAGGACATCAGCGAAAAAAAAAAAAAAAAAAAAAAATTGAGGCTCGTAACCAGGTGATACATGTCAGAATATTATCTTATTGTTCTAGCCTGTAGTGGGGTGCTCTATAGCGAGTACAACCCTTCTAGGGTTTGCTATTTGTATCCTCATTCTTGCTAGTTCAATCCTCTTTCTTTCTTCTAATTTTAACATGCTATCAGAGCAGGTCGATCCCCTTGGATCGATCCTGTGGGTGGGTTACCACCTCGCTTCCGCTGCTACTTTTTCCTCCCGCCATGCGCCCCGAGGCGCGCGGCGGTTTTCTGCCCGCCGTGTGCCCCGAGGCGCGCGGCGGTTCATTGCCCGCTGTGCGCCCCGAGGCACGCGGCGGGCTTCTCCCCTACGTCGCGGCCCCGCCCCGATCGTCGCGGCCCCGCCCCTCGACGCGGCCCCGCTCTACGTCGCGGCCCCGCCCCGGCCCGTCGCCGCCCGTGCGCCTGCCCGGCTCGGCCCCGCCCTTCGTCGCGGCCCCGCCCCGGCCCGTCGCCGCCCGTGCGCCTGCCCGGCTCGGCCCCGCCCTACCTTCGCGGCCCCGCCCAACGTTGCGGCCCCGCCCTATGTCGCGGCCCCGCCCTACGTCGCGGCCCCGCCCTATGTCGCGGCCCTGCCCCGACCGTCGCGGCCCCGCCCCTCGTCGCGGCCCCGGCCCCGTCCCCCCACCCACCTGCGACTCTCTCAGGTCCGTGGTGCCCCCCCCCCCCCCCCCCCCCCTGTTCTCCCCCCCCCCCAATTCCCGTCGCCCGTACCACTAGCTTTGCTTATAATTGTAAACTCTAAACTATTTCTTCTTGAACTTGTGCTCAGAATGTGTGGTGACATTGTGATCCACCCTGAGCTTGTTTTGCTTTGCCTGCTCTGCTGATTACACCCCACTTTGGCTATGGGGGTGTGTCAGAATATTATCTTATTGTTCTAGCCTGTAGTGGGGTGCTCTATAGCGAGTACAACCCTTCTAGGGTTTGCTATTTGTATCCTCATTCTTGCTAGTTCAATCCTTTCTTTCTTCTAATTTTAACAATATATCGTGCTGTCTTTCTCGTGGAGCAGCACTATGGCAGCTGGCAGAACAGCGAAACAGCATCGCCCCGCGACAGCCATCGAACATCGAAAATCCCCTGCATCTCCAAGTTCGTGGCGTGAATCACGGTTTGCAGCTCGTGGAACCTCTGGTGGACGACGCATCTTCCGCCAATGAGGGTCGCGATGGCGCGGATCCCTTGGTCGACGATGTTGAAGGCGGGGATGTTCGTCGCGGCATCCTTGGCTGCGAGAGCCTCTCTGTTAGATGATGGAAAAAAAAACCAAGTGAGTAGGGGGAGATGTATCTGACAACAATACTGCAAAATTTGAGGTGCAAAATACCTCACCGGTGAGCAAGTCAATGACACGCGACAAGATGCGGAACTCGCATCTTCAGGTGAACCACCAGCCCATTCTGACTGCCCAGCATGACGTTCGCACCATCCGTGCTGATGCCGGAGATCTTGTGCATGTCAACCCCGTTGCAGTCCAGATGCGCCAGCAAGACGGCGAGCAGAGATGAAGCGTCGCCCTTCTCCACGGTTAGGTGCCCGAAAAGCTCGGTCACCGCCTTCTCCTCCTTCATGAAGGTTAGGTAGACGATGAGATGCTTGCCCTTCCTCCGATCAGTCAACTCGTCGAGCTGAATCCCGAGAAAGGGCGACTCTTGGATGTATCGCATCTGACGGGCCTTCAGGTGCTGGACCATGGCTTCGGTCATCTCCCGAAACCCATATCTGCCATAATGAAAAGCACGACAATAAGTCAATGATGATGAGTACCTAAACATCACATCACGTTGCATTACTCACTCTGTCTGGTAGGTGCCGATGGCCTTGTCGGGAATGTTGGGGGTCTTCAGAACGTGTAGCAGGTGCACAAGGCCAACAAAGAGCGCAATAGGTGCATCCGACTTGCATATGAAAAGCACCACTAATAGAAGTTGTTTCAAACGCTCAATCTCCCCCACCCCGTCCTCATACTCATCAATCCCTCGTTGAGCAACTTTACCTCCTTCGGCTCGGGCTTTACGATCGAGGGCGTCCTGATGCTTGCGACTCAGACCATGCTTGCGCATGGTCTGCTTCTGGATGTCCACGCCACCCTCGCCCGCCTTGCCGTACTGCCAGTGTGGCGGTCCGTATCTGATGCAGACACAGCACTTCATGCGTGGGCGACCATCCTTCCTTTGTGATATCAGCAGCCAGAGGAAACGACGTTGCCAGATGTCGGTGCACTTCTTCTTCAGTTCTTCGAGAAGCGCGTCAGGATCCGGAACCAAAATAGACGGCCTGGACGGCCCTGGATCCGAAGGCACCCTGCTCGTGCCAGTCGCTGGAGTCAGCGGAGTAGCAGCAGCTGCGGGAGAGGGCGACCTTCCTTGCGTGAGGCGCACATGAGGTACGCGAGTTCGAGCAAACCGAATGGTCAATTAAGTGAACTTCCACAGGCGGATCGCTCAGCTATTGCCGTTGATAAAAATCCGGCCAGGGCTCCGTGCTTGCCGTTGGTTCGTTGTTGGTAACTGGGGGCTGCATAGGCGGATCTCTTTCAGGCGTGGCGGTAGGCGGACCGCCTCTCAGAAAGTCGAGACCAGTAAGTGGACGATGCGACCTTGCAGGGTCATCATCGTCCCTACAATCCATGGCTACAGGGCCCTAGGAGGATGTTGTCAAGACGGTAGAGAGAGCAGGGGAAAGAATTCCCCTGTGCTAGCGAGTGAAAGGAGCGTTGGAGAGGGAGGGGGAGCCAGCCGAGCATTATCAGCTGAACGAGGTGCATGCATGATCTTACAACGCACCACGGTGCCCCACTCCATCCTTCGTCCAGCGGGACGTTGGGCAACAGTCGGTGCGAGTCGCGTGAGGCTCTGCAATCCACACAACTCATGCGCTGGCGTGAAAGTGGACTAGTAACAGAAAGACTTGTTCCACTTTCATCTCAATGTGGCCCAAGATGGCCAGACGTGCGCCAGATTGCCAGCACTATCAGACTTCTGTCAGTGCGCTCCGCTGCGCTGTCACCGCAATCACGCATACAGGTCTGCTGATCGTGCTGTGATTGGCGCAGCTAACCCATGTCACGCGTCAATCACGGCAGACTGTATAAAAGTCGGTTATAGACGGAACTGATACAAGTGTCTGGAAAATCAGAGGAATAGCTACACGCACGTCTTTTTCATCAGACAAAATGGGAATCTCATATCTTATTCATCAGATTTCCCAAACTTTCCACTTCTTAAAAATCAGATTACGTAAAAAAAATCCGTCTTATTCCTCAGAAAGACAGACAAAAATGTATGATAGCGAGGGCCCTGCCCATGGACCACATGCTAGAGTTGCTTTGCGAGGGGCCTGGCCTTTTAGGGATTCAGACTGCCGCTGTTCCTGCTGTACTATGGAACTGTGCTATAGTAGCGGTGCTTCTAGAAAGCCACAGGATGTGGAACCGGGTAGATGTCAGCAGGGAGAGTGTTGCAGAGTAGGAGTGCCTTGGATAATGTGAGTGAGTAGATTCTACTGGGCAGTTTGTTGGATAAATGGCTCCGTGTTAGAATCCCGCCCCTGGATCCACTAAGTAGAGAAGAGGGTTCAATAGGCGAAGTGTTGCAAGGTACCATATTTATGTTCCCACTAGAGTGTGAAAGGGTGTTTGAATTGGCTGGCAAAAGGGCACTATCTTGTATGTGAGCATATAAGAGCTGTTCGGAGTTCCTTTGCCATGCTACACTCACGAACTTCCTGACACAGAATACGTGGCAGCATCTAGACAGTCGTCCAATAAGCCAGCACGTCGTCAGCATGGAATTGTCGGTTAGCCGCCAGTCAGACGTCGTCATTCTTCACGTCAACCACTGAACGTCAGCAATTGAAGTCTTGCCAGCTCAGCAGCGTCGTAAGTCTGTTGTAACTGGTGAGGACGGCTCGCTGTATTACAGCTCTCCGGTTCAGGGTAAACTTCCATATGTTTCCTAATGTTTGTAGGCCTTGCTCGCATCTCTGCTGTAAGTTAGTGAACTCAGTAGATTTTTTAACGTTGTTGAAGTTACGGTACATTCGTAGCCCGTGTCAGACATCAGGTCGACACGAAGTGGAGCCTCGGAAGATCCGAAGTGGCCCGTTTGTAAGGCAAAATCGAGTTCGGAAGAGGCAAAATTTTGACTAAGGACTGATGACTTGATATCTGACACTCGATACGAATGCGCCCTTAGCCTAGCCAAGCTATAACGTACCTCGCCATTTGGGAACGCATGATACCGCCAAGCATCCCTCCAAGTGGATGCAAGTTCTGCACTCAAACTATTTTTTTTTTCGAGGGTAAATGCAACGAGAAACCAGCAGCCTCAACTGCGATGCGTCACATCACATTCCCAATCCCAGAACTTCCCATTTGAGCAGTCACCAAAGCAGCCAGCACAAATTCTCCCCACCCCCGTTCCTCTCCCATATCACTCCCGCAGTTGCCGCTGCTGCTTTCTTTCTCACTGAGACGCATTCCAACAATTTGCCGCAACGTCGCGCAAACGCGTTCAGAGCAGGCGCAGCACCTATTTTTTCACCCATTTTTCGAAAACATCGCCTATCGTCCTCCGTTGCAGCTCTTCCCTACGTACCGTAAAACTTTCTAGCGACCATGGCCTCCAAGCGACTCCAGACCCTATCGGGTGAGATTCTCCGTCGTCTCGCCGCATCCCTTCCAGAATAAGCATAATGTAACGCCTGTGGGCTAAGTGTTAATGGGCATTCCGCTGCGTCAAATAACACCCTCGTTTTGACCCAGTGGGTAGCGAGGTGTTATACATAAGACTTTGTAACGCGTTCACAATTTTTGCATCCATGAGTCAGCCAGTGTTTTTCCAAAACCAACCTTCTTTCCTGAAATTCGTATCCATCCAGCCTGGTTCTCCGTACAACGCAGCGTCACGTCCCATCCACGTCCCATCCACATCCTTCCCCTTCTCCTTATCGCATCAATCGTTCGTAGCACGTACGTCGCCGATTCTGGAATCGACGCTTGGGGCGATACGTTCAACGCGACTAACTTGGAGTTCCTGACGTTCGCGGCGACCGCGCCGATTCGCGCATCTAGGAAGCTTGGCATCCTCCCTTTCCCCGGCTTTATCAAGTGTAAGCATAAGTATGGCGTTTTCCTCTCCAAATTAGTTTGCTAACTCATTTTTGAGTCGACTCAAAAGTCATCCCCTTTCCCCGGCTTCATGTGTAACCCTAGAGATGGGGTTTTCCACTCCAAAGTAGTTTGCAAATTCATCTAGAGGTCCGAGGCGCACCCAAAAGCCACGTCGAATTCAAGATCGGACTTCATTCCATACACGAGCTACGGCTAGTAGTGGTCGCTGTGGTATTTTCCTTTATCAAATTAAACTTTTGCATTGAAGGTATTTATTGGTCAATAGTACAAGCCGTGCCGATGCATCCGCGGCGAACTCGCAGGTCGTTTCTGCACCGTTTTCCTTTTCGACAGGCTACCGCCACGTCTGGAAACTTCTCGTCCATTCTCCGTTCCGTTGGATTCAAGTTGAATATTTGGGACGCTAGACGAGAATTGTCCGTGGTTGTTCGTCCGCCTTATAAAAACGAAGCCTCAATAACAAACCACAATGCAACCGCAAGGGTCTGTGCTCAGCATTCTGCTTTTGAGGCGCCTCAAAAACAGTGTGTGCTCAACAGGCTGTGTGTGGCAGGCGACGCGTTGGTGGCGTCTGAGCGCGGGTGGCCTCGTGCATCCTATCTTCGGGAGGGAACTCACAGAGCTGCTCTCAGAGCTGGATGCTCTCAGAGCTGGATGCTCTCAGAGCTGTGCTGTGCTGCCGAGGCGTGCTGTCCCGCCCCGCCCCGTGCCGTTCCGTGCCGCACAGCGCCGTGCCGTGCCGTGTGGTGCCCTGCTGTACCGTGCTGTACCGTGCCATGCTGTGCCGCCGAGCTGTGCTGTGCCGTGCTGTGCCGTCCTGTGCCGTGCTGTGCCGTGCTGTGCCGTCCTGTGCCGTCCTGTGCCGTGGTGTGCCCGTACTGTGCCGTGCCATGCCCGTGCTGTGCCGTGCTGTGCCGTGCTGTGCCGTGCTGTGCCGTCCTGTGCCGTGCTTGCCGTGCTGTGCCCGTGCTATGCCGTGCTGTGCCGTGTGTGCTCGTGTGTCTGGCAGGTGGGCTGGTGGCAACGTAGGCAATGCGCACGACGGATTGGGGGGAGATGTTGGGGGGAGATGTTGGGGGGAGATCCCAGTGCAGCAGACGGATTTTGTCACGTGCTGAAGGCTTGTGTCATCTGCTGTGTGCTGTGCGGTGCCGTGCATCGCTGTGTGGTTCTGTGTCGCAGGCGAGCTGGTGGCAAATCTGAATGCAGGAAGTGTACGGTCCATTGTAGGGGGAGATCCCGGTGTGAATAGATTCTATCAATCTCTGAGCCCGGGCAGTGTACAGTCCATTGTTGGGGGAGATCCCACTGCTGACGGCGTGGCTTTGGTGCATTCCCGGTGTGAGTAGCTTCTATCAATCTCTAAGCACTTGTGACACCTGCCGTGCACTGCGCTGTGCGGTGTGGTGCTGTGCAACGCTGTGTGGTTCTTCTTTTTGCAGGCGAGCTGGTGGCAAATCTGAGCCCCGGCAGTGTGCGGTCCATCGTTGGCGGAGATCCCACTGCTGACGGCGTGGCACTCGTGCAAGTCTACAGGTGAGGGGCGCCGGGGGGTGTCCGATTTTCAAATGAAGGTGAAGGTGTGGGCCAAATTGAGTCCACCCTCAGGGGAGATCCCATCGCCGAGGGATCTGGTTCAAATGGTGCGGCACCGGTGCAAGTGTGCAGAGGTACAGCCTTGAGCCTTGAGGACCAGGAGAAGTGCTTGGCTTGGCAGTGGACAGTCCATTGTCGGAAGTAACCCCTGTGGCAGATGGATTCACTCCGTGTTGCTGCTGCTGCTGGCTGCAACCTGCAGTGGCTCGCCCGGAATTTCATGCGCCAGGAATTTCTGGCGCCCGGAATTTCTGGCGGCCGGAATCGCTGGTGTTGCTGGGTGCAACTTGCAACTCCACTTGAAGAGTGCAGGCTGGGGTGCCCGGAGGTTCTGGTGCAAGGCTGCAGAGGTCTAGTCTAGCCATCCATTTCTCTCCTCCCCTCGCCCTCTCCACCCCCCATGAAAGGTACAACGGGCAGACCAACGTGCACATTCGCCTGCGAGCGCACGCGCTCTCCTCTTCCCCCATCGCCCAGACTGTAAACAAAGCCCACGCAGGCATCAACGGCCCGCCTGTGTGGGTTGTCCTAGGGCAATGGACCCGCAGCAACAGCAACAACGCGTACAACTTGCAGAAATGGTACTATGAGGCTAATAAGAAGTACCCTCCTGGCTCTGCTAGATCCGTGCACTCTATTGTTCGGGAGATCGCCGGGGGTCCGGGGCGGTACTATGCTGTGGTGAGCTCTGTGACCCGGCCTGTTGGGGCGATCAGGGGGCAGTTCAGGCTCGCGCTGCCGTTTTCGCTGTACCCGTGGAATCCGTGCTAGTCTGGCTTTAAGTGTCATTCAGAGTGCTGCTGTTCCTGCTGTACCCGTGGAATCCATGCTAGAGTGGCTTTAAGTGGAGCTTCTATGGAGTTTAGAGTGCCGCCATTCCTGCCGTACATATGCAATGGCTGGGGTTACAATGCGGAAGCGGGTCAATGCCAGGGGCATATAGGGAGACTTAAAACAGGAACCACTTGAACAGTGAGTGCTGCTGGCCTGCAGTGTCCTGGATAGTGTGAGTGGGTAAATTCTAATGGGTAGCCTCTGAATCAGTGGTCCTCTGGTGGTCTTACCCCCTTGAGGGAGGGTGAAACACGGTATTGGTCTCAGCAGCAGTGATATAGAAGGTGCGAGGAACCTGCTGGTGCTGGAGCTCACTTCCTGTCCGCTTAGGTGCCTAGATACCAGAATAGTGGATGTGAGGAGCATCCCACCTACCCTGCTGACACCCACTGTCTGTTCTTGTCTCCATCGAGTACCTCGGTATTTGTTTCCTGAACTGGCCGCCTCTTACACTAAATTCTCAACCTGCTTTACGGTTTGCTGATTAAGTCTACATGTGCTGAATTGTATATGTACACTACGGCCTTGTTCTCTTCACCTCCTATGGTACACACACATCCAGTCGAAACCCTGCTGCATGATTCTCCCAGATGCAACTGCAGCCACCACAGCAGCCACTCACTCACCGGATGCGTGCATTATTACTTACGTGGTACCTGTATCGGAAGGCAAATCAATCATGTACCGTACCAGAGTAACATTATTCATTTGTCAATGACGGGTTTTTCAAGACGGCAGCAGACCAATACTATCGTTCTATCTTGAACAAATGAGAAATTACATGTGGGGATGGCATGGAATGATGACCAGACAAAATCAAATACCAGTAAGCCATCTGCCCCTTGAACAGGTGCTTCATTCCAGCTGCAGTAATGTGCCCTCTACCCTTTCCCCTCCTCCCCTCTCACCAGCAAACCCACTATGCTTAATTCCTGGATGGATGCCTTGTCCGTCTCCCCGCCGTGTCAGCAGCAGCACCAACTGACCAACCCTGCTTTATTCCAGCTGCGATGAAGCGTCCTGCACCCCTCCTCCCCCCCCCCCCCCCCCCCCCCCCGAACACACCAGCCTCACTTTGCGTTATTACCCAGCAGGATGTCTTGTCCCTTCCCCCGCCGTGTCAGCAGCACCAACAACAAGACTACCTGGCTTATTACCAGCCAAACCCCTTTGCCCTCTCCCCTGTCCCCCTCTTGCCCATCATGTGGCGATCCAGGCTGATTCGGTACAGCAGTACAAGGCGCTTGTACACACTTTCCCCTCCTTGCTCTGGAGGCGCCTCAAAAGTGCTCGCACCACAGGAAAGCCTCCCTCATCCTCCTCTCGCCCCTCATGTGGCGCTCCAGGTTGACTTGGCATAGAAAGTACACACGCACGCACGCACGCACGCACGCACGCACGCACGCACGCACGCACGCACGCACGCACGCACACACACACACACACACACACACACACACACACACACACACACACACACACACACACACACACACATTCTGTTGACAGGCAGTACACGGCGCTCGCTCGTACACACACTCTCCCCCCTGCTCTCTCTCACCACAGGAGATCGTTCCCCTGCGCCAGCCACAGCACCAAAAGACTCACAGTGTCCATTCCCTCACTATGGGAGATGTCCTCCCCTGGGCCACCAGCGGTAAAAGCAGCAGAAGACCCACACTAGGGCAAATGGTGCTCGTACACACTCCTGCATCTGCCCCCACAAGGAGAGATGCTCTCCCCTAGGCCAGCACCAGCACCACCAGCACCAGCAGCACCAGCACCAGCACCACCAGTACCAGCAGCAGCACCAGCAAAAGAAGACTCACACTGCCCAATCCCACAGGGATGCCTCGGCCCTCTCCCCTTCGCCTCCCATCCTCCCCTCGCCCCTCATGTGGCGCTCCAGGTTGATTTGATACAGCAGCGCATGATCATCGTACACACTTCTGCCCCTGCTCTCACTAGGAGAGATGCTCTCTGTTAGGCCAGCACCAGAACCAGCAGTACCAGCAACAGCAGCAGCAGCAGCAGGAGCAGCAGACTCACACTCCCAGATGCTGTCCTGCGCCATTGCTTACCCCCCAGACACTTCCACACATGCGCCAGCAGCAGCGCGAGAAGGAGCAGCAGGAGCAGCAGGAGCAGCAGCAGCAGCGGCGGCAGTAGCGGCAGCAACAGCGGTAGCAGCAGCATTAGCAAACTCACACGCCCAGGTGCTACCATGCGGCAGTGCATAGCCCTCGGGAACAGCTGGCAGTGTGAATGGGCTGCTCCGCCGCTGCATGCCGTGTGCATGCACACGCGCTCTGAAACTCGGCTTGTGATGCGACTCAAGCCCAGGTCCGCTGAAACTCGGCTCCACAGGTGCGCTGAAACTCGGCTCCACAGGTGCGCTGAAACTCGGCTCCACTGGTGCGCTGAAACTCGGCTCCACAGGTGCGTTGAAACTCGGCTCCACAGGTGCGCTGAAACTCGGCTCCACAGGTGCGCTGAAACTCGGCTCCACAGGTGCGCTGAAACTCGGCTCCACAGGTGCGCTGAAACTCGGCTCCACAGGTGCGCTGAAACTCGGCTCCACAGGTGCGCTGAAACTCGGCTCCACAGGTGCGCTGAAACTCGGCTCCACAGGTGCGCTGAAACTCGGCTCCACAGGTGCGCTGAAACTCGGCTCCACAGGTGCGCTGAAACTCGGCTCCACAGGTGCGCTGAAACTCGGCTCCACAGGTGCGCTGAAACTCGGCTCCACAGGTGCTCTAAAACTCGGCTCCACAGGTGCGCTGAAACTCGGCTCCACAGGTGCGCTGAAACTCGGCTCCACAGGTGCGCTGAAACTCGGCTCCACAGGTGCGCTGAAACTCGGCTCCACAGGTGCGCTGAAACTCGGCTCCACATGTGCGCTGAAACTCGGCTCCACAGGTGCGCTGAAACTCGGCTCCACAGGTGCGCTGAAACTCGGCTCCACAGGTGCTCTGAAACTCGGCTCCACAGGTGCACTGAAACTCGGCTCCACAGGTGCGCTGAAACTCGGCTCCACAGGTGCGCTGAAACTCGGCTCCACAGGTGCGCTGAAACTCGGCTCCACAGGTGCGCTGAAACTCGGCTCCACAGGTGCGCTGAAACTCGGCTCCACAGGTGCGCTGAAACTCGGCTCCACAGGTGCGCTGAAACTCGGCTCCACAGGTGCGCTGAAACTCGGCTCCACAGGTGCGCTGAAACTCGGCTCCACAGGTGCGCTGAAACTCGGCTCCACAGGTGCGCTGAAACTCGGCTCCACAGGTGCGCTGAAACTCGGCTCCACAGGTGCGCTGAAACTCGGCTCCACAGGTGCGCTGAAACTCGGCTCCACAGGTGCGCTGAAACTCGGCTCCACAGGTGCGCTGAAACTCGGCTCCACAGGTGCGCTGAAACTCGGCTCCACAGGTGCGCTGAAACTCGGCTCCACAGGTGCGCTGAAACTCGGCTCCACAGGTGCGCTGAAACTCGGCTCCACAGGTGCACTAAAACTCGGCTCCACAGGTGCGCTGAAACTCGGCTCCACAGGTGCGCTGAAACTCGGCTCCACAGGTGCGCTGAAACTCGGCTCCACAGGTGCGCTGAAACTCGGCTCCACAGGCCCAACAGCTGTGAGACGAGCCACATGGCTTTGAGGCGCCTCAAAACTAGACGCCCTGAAACCTGGCTTCTGAGAAGTCTCAACGCCATGTGCGCGCACAGGTGCGCTGAAGCCCGGCTCCACAGACCCAACCGCTTTGAGGCGACACACAGGGTCGCTCAACGCTGCAAAAGCTGACTTATGAGACCTGGCGTCACACGAGGTGCATCCCCCATAAGGGGCGTACGTACCACTGATGGCCTGGCATGGATAACAATCCCCAGGATGACACTCCCCTTTGCTCGTCTGCTCCACCCGCACCTCCTTCATCATCCCCCCCTGCAGCCTTTTTCTCTTTTGCCTCTTTCTCTTCTGCCTCTTGGCTCAATCCCAAACGAAGGGACAGATCCACTGACCCACACGCCGGGCTTCTGCCTGATCCTGGGTTCCTCGCAAGAGATGCGTTTTGAGGCGCCTCAAAGCTCACCTCAAGGCCTCTGCCTGATCCCGGGTTCCTCGCAAGAGATGCGTTTTGAGGTGCCTCAAAGCTCACCTCAAGGCCTCTGCCTGATCCCGGGTTCCTCGCAAGAGATGCGTTTTGAGGCGCCTCAAAGCTCACCTCAAGGCCTCTGCCTGATTCCGGGTTTCTCGCAACAGATGCGGTTGCAGTGGAATGGGCGGGAGCACTGCTGCTTGGGTAGGGAGTAACGGCATGGTGGGGGTTGGCAGGCAAGAAGCTCAGAGAGTGTGTGCTTTCAAAGGGAGAAGAAAGAGGTGGTGTGGTGGCAGCATCGGCTGCGGAGGGAATGGCGGCAAAAGTTTTTGAGGATGTGTGTGGTTCCGGGGCCTTTGGGAGGCTGTGAGGGTGTGTGTTGGGAGCAGAGCGAGGGGGAGGGAGGGCAGGGGAGTGTAACAGGGGTTGGTTGCCTCCATTGCAAGCCCTTTGAAAGGGTAAAAGACTCAGCTGTCGTTCCATCTCCTGTGCAGATGCTTGCACGTGTTGCTGCTGCTGCTGCTGCTGCTGCTGCCGCTGCTGCTGCCGCAGCTGCCACTGCTGCAGCCGCTGCTGTAGATCCTGCTGCATCTGCTGCAACTGCTCCTGCTCCTGCTGCTGCTGCCGCCACCACTGCTGTTGCTGCAGCAGCAGGTGGTGCTGTAGCTGCTGCTGTAGCTCCTGCCAGTCTCGCGAGCCAATCCAGTCGCGCCATGTGGACACGGTGCTTGCATTCCGCCCCCCACTATCCACACGCTCCCCGTTTCCCTCAAAGCGAAAGGGCCAACTTTCCGCTCGTCCCGCCGTTCCCCCACTCTCCCCGCTTCCCCCGCTTCGTTCCCCTGCCGCACCCCCCACGCCCTGGCTAGATTCCCCCAGCAGCCGCCCATCCCAACTGCAAGCAGCTGCTAGTGCCTCCGCCCGGGGAGTGAAACCTTCGGGTTTGCCACTGGCAGCACTCTATGCGGCTGGGACCTCCGCGAGGGCAATGGTGGGACTAGTAGTACCAGCACTGCTGGTACCAACCCATGGGCCGTGCAAGGTCAGCCCTTCCACAGGAGATCTGCGCTGCAGGTCCCTTTCCCCGGAAAGCTGTGCCTCGGCCTCGCCGTGCTAGCTCCACGTACGCGGTGCTTGGGGAAGGAGACCGGTGCTGTGCGGTCCGGTACGGTTGCTATTTGATGTGATAGTGTTGCACGGCAACTGAGGTGGCTCAGGAATGAGAGGCGCGGCGACGCTCCTTGCCGTGACTCCGAGTCGGCTCATTTTATAGCTCTGCTCTACTTTATAGCTCTTGCACGGCGCCTCTGCCGCCGGCTGCTCTTCAACCGCCTGCTCTGCTGCAGGCTGCTCTCCCGGCGCCGCCGGCTCTGACTCCCGCGTCCTCTTCCGTGGCCACGCCTCCTCCGCTGACAGCTGCTACTGGGCGCCGGTAGTAACGGGCGGCGAGGCGAATCTACTAGAATCGGTCGGGGGTGCAGCGGGTGCGATCAACCAGCCGCGTATCATGGCGACTCAGAGCAGTTCCGCACTCACGGAGTTGTCGCCGTCCCCGCGTGGCTCACAGCGGCGGCTAGACGCGGGGGCGGCGGCGCCACGGATGAGCCGCGGCTCCAGCTCGTGCGATACATCGCACCTGGACGCGCCGATGCGGCCACCTCCCGCCGCGGCGTGTTCGTTTCTGCGGGGAAGGGATGCGGCCACCCCAACGGTTCCACTTAAGGCGTCGATGTGGCAGCGGCCGTGCGACGGAACATAAGGGGGATAGAAAAATAGCTTGTTCGAGATGAGAAAACGGAGATAATCGCCGTCAGGGGGCGTCATGACGATGATCAGTACTGATCAGCAACGTTGCTGAAAAGAGGCAAATGCTGCGGTTGCTGAGGAGAGGGGAAACGGGACAGCAGCTTTGTGAGAGCCTCTCTGAGAGTAGGCTTGAACGGAGAGATAACGAAGAGCCTGACGACACATGAGAGGGATGAGCGCTAGGCGACTCGCGAAGCTATAAGCTGGCAGCTTGGTAACAGATTGATCGAGTGGAGGAGGAATTGGCTCGAGATTCCAGACTGTGTCAGTGCTAGCAGCACAGTTGTTTCTCCAGCACAGCTTGTGCCTGCACAGTACCATGATTCTCCAGCACATGCAGCACAGTATGTTTCACTTGGCAATTTCTTGCTGAAACAGACGGAAAGCATGTGCAGCTCGCGCGACGCGACAACTCCCAATCATCTTCGAGCGCGCGGGTAGTGCGCTTCGTCTGTTCGGCAGCGCTGGCAAGAGAGGCACGTGAGCTAGATTGCGATCCTTTGTGCCATGTGACACTGACCATGTCACGTTGAAACACTTGAAATGGAAATGGGCATCGTGACGAGAAAATCGAGCGCTGCGAAACAAATGCCGCCCTGGTTACGTCAAGAGTACGCGACCGGCATCGCAACGTACTGTTCCTACACATGACAATCGCACATGCCAGGATCCTATAATCTCGGCTTCCGATTGGTCATCCAAGATAACGCGTTTTCTGCCAAGGTCGCGAAGGATAGTTGCCACTAACGAGTACCGCGGCCTTTTGGAGGACACGCAAGCTGCGCTTCTGACAGCCTAATTGCATTAGAAATGGCGGTTGGAAACTTCCAATAACCACCGAAGACGACAACTGTTTGCATGAGGAAAATCTGGAATTGGAACAGCTCTAGGCTGTTAGAGTTTCTCAAGGCTAAAGCTTGGAGAGTCTAAAATGACAAGGTAAACTCAGTAGCATAAATTCTGTAAATTTCAGAAAGCAAGAATGGCATACAAGGGACGAAGGACTACTCTTATACACACTTCTATGACTATGGCACCTTGAGAAGGTCGTTCAGGTCGCCATTAATCCTATCTCTACTGTCACCAGCAAGGAACGGCTATGTACAAGCAGTAATAACAATCCTATGCTGGATCCTAGATGTTTATATAGAAATATGCAAAGTACAATCATGAGATGGATCTAGAAAGGTATTATCTGACTTGGTCTTCAACTTCATGATGATGGCACTTAGATCTTGTGGTGCTGGAACGTAGTTACAGCTGAATGGCGTGACTTGTTGCTCTGCTGTCGTGAAGATGCCCTTGTGCTTTTTTCTCTGCTGCTTTGCTGGTTGGGAATTCACGTGTGCTTTGAGAAATCCCGAAGCGCACATTTCAGGTTGAGATTTCCGACCTCGAATTTGACATTTCAGGATGGAGTTTTGGCGAAGGTTACAAGTTTGCTAGTGAGCGAACTTTCCTGTGGCGAGTTCGCCTTCGCCCTGTAACATTACTCCCCCCTCCAAGGGGCACCGTCCTCGTTGCACCAGCAGATGCAAAGTAGGCAGAGATAGCTCGTTGTGCATGCTCTAAGTCCTTCTCTGGAATCCAGAGATTTTCTGCATCATCATGCTCTCGCAACTTAACCATGAAATATCTGCCATTAGGTGTTGTTTCGTGAGCGAGGATCTTCTCAACTTCAAACAAATCAGGGGTTGGAGTGAACATGGGAGGGCGAGATGGCTGAGAAGTAGGGAGGAAACGAGCTGGAGGATCATGATATGGGCGTAGTAGATGGACATGGAAGACTGGATGGATGTTGATGTGACGAGGAAGTTTCAAACGGTATGTGAGTGGAGAGAGGACCTGTGTGATCGTGAAGGGACCAATGAAGTGAGGTGCGAGCTTGCGGGTGAGGCCTTGAGTGAGTAGGGGCAGATTTGTGGTTGAGAGAAGTACTCTGTCTCCTACGTGAAAGCGGATGTCACGTCGGTGCTGGTTTGCATAGTGAATCATGCGATGCTGTGCCCTAGAGAGTGAGGTGCGTGCTGCTGCTATGGCTTTCTCTCTGTCCTTCAGAAATGCGGTTGCTGCAGTATCACGTTTGGGGCTGTGAACCAGTGAGGTAGGAGTGCGAGGGTTCTGTCCAGTAGGTAGGTAGAACGGGGTCTGTCCAGTAGCAAGGTTAACGAAGCTGTTGTAGGAGAACTCGATTTCTGGTAGGTGGGTGTCCCAATCGTTCTGGCGAGCGTTGACACATGCACGCAAGCCATCTTCCAGAGTTCGATTCATTCTCTCGGTCTGCCCATCAGACTGAGGGTGGTAGGCAGTTGAGAGGCGAATCTTGGTACCCATCCTGTTGAAAAGGGCCTGCCAGAATCTGCCAACGAAACGGGAGTCACGGTCGGAGATAAGGACAGAGGGAATACCGGGAAGACGTACTATTTCTGTTAAGAAACGTTCAGCAACGTCTCGGGCAGTGGCAGTGGTAGAAGTGGGAATGAAATGGGCCATCTTTGTGAGTTTGTCAACCACAGTGAGAATGGCGTTGTGATGGGCAGCAGTGCGAGGTAAATCAGTGATGAAATCAAGGGTGACATGGCTCCATGGTGTCTGTGGAATTTCCTGGGGATGTAGGAGGCCATAGGGAGGGAAATTGCAAGCTTTGTTGCATTGACAGGTATGGCAGCTGCGCACGTAGGAGCGGACATCGCGGTAGATGCTAGACCAGAAAAAGTTTGATGTGATTGAAGGAACACCACTTATTGGTGGTGGTAGACATTGCGTGGCTGCAGAATCGGAGTTGTTAGCAATTTGTTAAAAGAAACAGACTTGTAAAATCCTGTGTTTGTGTGTAGAAAAAACTTATTGTGAAACAAAACCGCGGTAACTAGTTTCGGCGTAGAAGCCTTCGTCAGACCACAAGAAAGCAAATGAGACCTCGAGGCTTATATAATGCCCTCGAGGGGATCCCACTCGCTATTGAGCTCGTAGGGAAACCCAAGTCTCAGCAAAAAATTCTACAGTAACAGAATACACTACGCTAGCACTTACGAGCAGAAACTAAAAAGCTTCCAACCCTTTTTGGCAATTTCCATGCCAAAATAGCTCGCCTCCCTGTAAACACATCGCGTGACATTGTATCCAGGTGTGTTTTGAGTCGACTCAAAAAGGACCCCAGGCACGAACGATCAAACAACGGGTTGAACAGACATTTGATCACCAGGGGGCCGCGACTTGAGGAGTTGCGAAGAGAATCGGCGCGTAGTAGAAGTTCAGAACGTTCTGAGAAACTGACACTCTTGAAAATGGGGAGAAAAAACCGTTCAGGGTAACCGCGAACACGAAGTCTTGCGAAAAATAAGGCGCGGGAGTTGAAAAAATCTTCGCGCGAGGAGGATCACAGAAGGAATCTTCTCAGTTCGGTACGAATGAAGCTCACTTTAGTGCTCCTGGTATGGTAGGAGTTGAACGGTAAATAGAGATACCGGTTCATCGGCTTCTGGAAGAGCTTGCAATCCAGGATACCCTTTTCTTGAAAACGTTTACCCGTAAAGAAAGTAACGTCCAGAAAGTCCATGGAGTGAACTGAAATGTTCCAGGTCAGTTTAATGGATGGATGGAGATGGTCAAAATTGGACTTAAATCTGTCAAAGCTGTCTCTCGATCCTTCCCACTGTAAGAGTCCGTCGTCAATGAAACGGAGATGAAGAGAGGGTGGTTTTGGAATGGAAGCATGGAGTTTCTTGTCCAGGTAACTCATGAAAAGCACCGCGAAGCAAACTGCGACTGAAGTGCCCATAGTAGTACCGCGGATCTGAAGGAAGAAACGGTTATCAAAAGTGACGAAACCATTAAACATCACCCACTTCAGCAGGCGAACGATCAGTGGAGCCAGAGGATGTTTAGCCTTCTGGAGGAAATAATCCTCAGCATCGATCCCATCCAGTAGGGGAATAGACGGGTAAAGTGACTCCACGTCGTAAGAGGCCAGTAAAAGATTGGGCTGGAACCTCCTCCCCTCCAGGTGCTTAATTAAACTCTGAGAGTCTTTGATGTAGGTTGGTTGTGCAAGCACAAGCGGTCGTAAAACAGCGTCCAACCAGCGGGAGATGTTAGAGGTCACCCAAGAGTGGGACGCCGCAATGGGTCGTCCAGCCGGAACCTTCTTGTGCACTTTCAGGATGATGTAAAACGATGGGACTTTCCAGCCTCCTTTAGGCGCATTGAAAAAAGAGTTCCAGATACGGGAGCTGAGCAGAGGTTTATTGTTGAAATGTATTCGTATACATTTATAAATGCCTACAGTAGAGTTTAGTGTAGTTATTTAGTTTCCTGCTTGGTGGTGCACCATTTGCCCATTTCCTTGACTATATCTTGTATGCCTTCCATTATTGAAACACTTTTATCCTTCCAAAATCTCTCGACACTTTTTCCTTCAACCCTTCAACTCGAACTAAGTCACTCCCAACTATGGCTCCTAAGCCCAACTCGACTTAGGATTTTGACATGCTATCAGAGTGATTACGGTCCTGGCCTATGGGCCCGCCTTACTGCTTCCGCTGCTACTCTGTGTTCGGCACGCCCCGTGGCGTGCCCCTTAACTTTCTCTTAGCGGCCCCGTTGCCGCCCTTTCAGGCCCCTCGCGGCCCCTTCGCGGCCCCGTCGCCGCCCTTCCGCGGCCCCGTCGCCGCTCTTCATCGGCCCCGTCGCCGCCCTTTCAGCGGCCCCGTCGCCGCCCGCCCTTTCAGCGGCCCCGTCGCCGCCCTTCCAAAGCCCAGCAGCCGCCCTTCCACGGCCCAGTCGCCGCCGCTCTTCATCGGCCCCGTCGCCGCCGCCTCCATCGGCCCCGTCGCCGTCGCCAGCGGCCCCGTCACCGCTGCCAGCGGCCCCGTCGCCGCCACTTGCGGCCCCGACCCCACCCCGGCCATGCCCCGTCACCAGCCGCGGCACACCGGGGGCACGTGCACCGCCCCCTCCCCTTTTCACGTCGCCCGTCGCGGCTCCTTCGGGGGCCGCGACCTGGAAAGGGGGGGCAAGCGTCGCCCCCTCTGCCGCCTACTTTGGCGCCCTGGGAGGCCGTGCGTCGGCCCCCCCCCTCCCCCCTCCCCCCCTTCTCCTTCGTCTCCCTGCAGCTGCAGGGGGGAGGGTCTGGGGGTGGCGGGTGTTGGGATGATGGGTGGTGTGTTTCCCTTCCCCTCCTCCTCCTTTTGTTCCCACTACTGCAGCTGCCGCTGGGGGGGAGGGTGTGAGGGTGTGGGGGAGCCAGGGGAGTGGCATTGGGATTGGGGTGGCGGGTGTGAGACCAACCACCCCCTATCCCTCGTGGGGGGGGGGGGGGGGGGGGGAGGAGAGTAAAGGGGTGGCAGGAGTGCCTGCCCCTTTGCTACTGTACCTGCTCTATTACCTTGTCCGTTGTTGCTGCTTTCTTTGCACTTGGTGTACCTCTACAGGAGGTGTACTGCACATGATTCTAGTTGTAGGCATTTAGGGGGTGTGTTGAAATGTATTCGTATACATTAATAAATGCCTACAGTAGAGTTTAGTGTAGTTATATAGTTTCCTGCTTGGTGGTGCACCATTTGCCCATTTCCTTGACTATATCTTGTATGCCTTCCATTATTGAAACACTTTTCTCCTTCCAAAATCTCTCGACACTTTTTCCTTCAACCCTTCAACTCGAACTAAGTCACTCCCAACTATGGCTCCTAAGCCCAACTTGACTTAGGATTTTGACATTTATAATCTGCACGAATCAGCTCCAGTTCATCGACGATGCGAGAAACTAGGACAGATGAGTACTCCCGATAAACAGATGGATTAAGTAGATGATTGAAGCAGTGTTCTTTATAGAAGTACCTGTCCATCACAGTTAGTCCGAGGTTTTTATCAGCTGGCTTAAAGATGAGATTAGGATTTCGTCCAAGTCGTTTCAAGATCTGTGTGTAGTTCTTCTTTTTTCGGTGAAGAGTAGTAAAGGGTTGATTGCCGATGCTTTCCAGAGCCGATTGTTTAAAGACAGCAAGTGCCGTTTCAATCTCAGGAGAAGCTTCTGGCGGGTTCCAGTTATCTCGTTTAGGAAGCTTGTACCCAGGATACTCTGTCTGAAATTCAGCACCGTCAAAGAGATACATTGTCCTGATGCTACGAATGAACTCATCAACCTCCACCTCTACGCTAGAAAGTCTTCCGAGACACGGGACTGGAATGAATGTGAGACCTAGACCGAGTAGACTTAGCTCTTTAGGATTGAAGACATGACTGCTGTAGTTATGGATCCCTTTGTTGCTGACACGGTTACGCAGCTGAAACTCCGTTCGCCGACCAAAAAGAATCAGCGCTTATTGATGAATGTCAGCAGCTAGCGCGGCTTGGTTTTTCCGTGGCCGGATCCTCCGTTTTTTGGAGTGTTCGGTTTCTGCTTCTTGCTGTTGGGATGGCGTCCAGGATTACGGCTCGCGGTCTTAGTGAAAGAGCGTCCCATGGTCTTAGCTGTGTCAGAAGATCCGTCAAAAGACTTCTTCTTCTTGTCGGTCTTAGAAGGAGAGACCTTCTTAGAGTTGTTCCTGAGCACCAGAACGGATTAGTTAGTTTTAATCGGGAGAGAACGCTTAACTTAGGTACCCTTATCCTGTCGAGCAGTCGTAGAAGAGTTGTTTTTCGGTCGCTTAGGATGAGTTTTGAGTCGACTCAAAACACACCTGCATACAATGTCACGCGATGTGTTTACAGGGAGGCGAGCTATTTTGACATGGAAATTGCCAAAAAGGGTTGGAAGCTTTTTAGTTTCTGCTCGTAAGTGCTAGCGTAGTGTATTCTGTTACTGTAGAATTTTTTGCTGAGACTTGGGTTTCCCTGCGAGCTCAATAGCGAGCGGGATCCCCTCGAGGGCATTATATAAGCCTCGAGGTCTCATTTGCTTTCTTGTGGTCTGACGAAGGCTTCTACGCCGAAACTAGTTACCACGGTTTTGTTTCACAAGAAGTTTTTTCTACACACAAACACAGGTTTTTACAAGCCTGTTTCTTTTAACAAATTTCTAACAACTCCGATTCTGCAGCCACGCAATGTCTACCACCACCAATAAGTGGTGTTCCTTGGGTCTGGCGACACAAAACACTGCGAAGGCCAGTTTCGAGTTTCAAGCAACCTGGGTTACGACCCGGTCTATTCCTAAATTTCAAAATTCCTCCAAGGAATCAATACCCGAGGCGACTCGACAACCTACAAAAAGGCAGTCTTTCGCCAGAGGGGGACATCAAGTTGTCATTACTGACTGAGAGGACCCAATCCTTTCGACTCCAGTTCATCCTAGCAAAAACCGTATCTGCGAGTCTGCAGAACTTCTTGCTGTGACTGTCCAAGTACACACTATGGCTCCTCAACCGATGACGAAGCGTGTTGATGCTCCGAACCCAGCTGAAGCTGCGACTTTGGTTCACGAAGCCAACGCCACTGTGACCCTGGACAACGACAACATTAACGATGTCGTCATGACTGATTCATTTGATTTCCTTGGAGACGTATCTGACGCTTTTCTGGAAAAGCAGGCTACACTTTCTTGCCTCAACGTTTTTAAATTCCAAGCTGCTGCGGATTTTAAGAAGCATTTTCTGAAATACTGGACCCAGATGCAGCAATATCATTTTATGGCTGAGCAGAAGAAGAACGGAATCATTCCGCATAGTATTCGTATCAAGCCTTTCTCTTTTGTCTGCAACAACGAAGAGATCAAGCAAGAAGCCGATAAGGGCCTTGTTGATGCCTGCGAAGCATATTGTCATCAAGCTCAAGATGTTATGATCAGTATGAAGAAGAAGTTAGCTGACCGTGCTCTTAATGACGCTTACGCTGTCTTTCCCAAGCTCCAGAACAACCTGACTAATTTCATCAACCTGACGAAGAACTCTGATCTCGGTTCCAAGAATACCAAACTCGTCGACAAGCTGAATTTCTTCAAGAACCGGATCCTGAAAGAGTTCACGGAGACGATGTCGCAGTTTTACCTTGAAGCTGCTGTCGGTGAGACTCACTTGAAGGAGAAAAAGAAGGAGGAGGATGACAAGAAGGCTGCTGCTATAACAGAAGCGGAGAACTTACCTGTTGAACCGGCTGTTCGTGAGATCGCGAAGCAGGAAGCTGAGAAGGATGTGAAGCGGTTCAATCAGCATCGTCCTGCTGCTCGTCCGAACAACCGTACTCATCCTAAGCCACTGACAGGTATGGCAGCTGTGCACGTAGGAGCGGACATCACGGTAGATGTTAGACCAGAAAAAGTTTGATATGATTGCAGCCACGGTTTTGTCCACTCCGAAGTGTGAATTCTGGTCGTGATGCTCGCATAGGAGGAGGATACGGAGTTTACGGCCAGAGGGGACGCAGATAGCGTGAGAATCTGCTTTGTACCAGAAGGGAGGGTCAAAATAGTATGCTTTGTCGGAAGGGGCAGAATGGAGGTAAAAGTTATCATGGCGGTATCCCTTGGAAAATTTCTTGGTGAAGTCTAGGTCCCATGTCACGCTGCCGATCACAGCAAGCTGAGAGGTTGGGGGACGAGAGAGATCATCGGCAGGGTTTGTACGGCCAGCACAATACTCAATTTTCAGCTCTGGAACGTACTGCTCAAGAAATTCCATCCATCTTGCCTGCCGTTGTGTGAGATGAGGTTGCGTCTTCAAGTGCTGCAGAGTGCAATGGTCCGTCAAGACCGTTACCGGCTGCATGTGAACGTAGCAGCGCCACTTCTTGATAGCATTGACAATGGCCAGCACTTCTCGGTCATGATTAGCGTAGTTGCACTCGGCTGGTTTCAGCTTCCGTGAGTCAAAGGCGATGGGCTGAAGGCCATGTCCTTGGTCTTGACACAAGATTGCACCTGTAGCAACTTGAGATGCATCTGTCCAGATGACATAGGGAAGTGAGGGGTTGGGTAGGACTAGGGTGGGAGAGGAGGTAAGAGCATGTTTGATGGTGGTGAAAGCTTTTTCCTGATCAGGCCCCCAATGAAAAGGCTGTTGCTTGCGAAGAAGGTTAGAGAGGGGTGAGGTGATGGCAGCAAAATGGTTGATGAATTTTCTGTAGTAGTTGGCAAGGCCAAGGAAGGCTTGAAGGTCCTTGATGCAGGTGGGCTGGTTCCATTTTTCAACGACCTGAATCTTGGTGGGGTCCATAGCAAGCTGATTATGAGAGATGATATGACCCAGGAAAGGGATGGAGAATTTTGCCAACTCACACTTGCTCTCTTTTGCAAAAAGCCGGTGTTCGCGAAGCTTCGTGAGTACCTGGCGTAGGTGCTGAGAGTTTTCTTTCAATGACTTGCTGAAAATCAGAATGTCATCAATGAAAACAATGACAAACCGATCAAGGAAGTCACGAAAGATGTTATGCATCAAGCACGTGAAGGTGGCAGGGGCATTTGTGAGTCCTAAGGGAAGTACAAGGAATTCAAAATGCCCATACCGGGTTCGGAATGCTGTTTTCTTGATGTCCTCTTCAGCGACGCGAACCTGATGGTAACCGCTTCGAAGGTAAAGTTTGCTGAAAATTTTGGCCTTGCCGAGTTGTTCAAAGAGTTCCTCCACTCGCGGCAGCGGGTATCGGTTCTTGATGGTGAGTTTGTTGAGGGCGCGGTAGTCTATACACATGCGAAGGGAGCCATCCTTCTTTTTCACGAAAAGAATGGGGGCTGCGTAAGGGGAAGAGCTGACACGAATGAAGCCTTTTTCAAGGAGTTCCTCCAGTTGAGCTTGGACTTCCTTCAGTTCAGCAGCACTCATGCGGTAGGTAGCACGAACAGGAGGTTCAGATCCAGGTTGTAGCACGATCCGGTGATCCACTGAGTGCTTGGGAGGAAGTCCTACTGGGAGGTCTGAAGGAAACACATCTTGAAAATCAGTAAGGACTTTCTGAATTTCTGCAATAGGAGTAGAATTTGGAGAAGAAGGAGTTGAAGGGGCTTTTGAGGTTTGTTGAAGCAAGCAAATGAAGAATTGAGCCTAAGGGTCTTTGGAAAGCTTCTTCAGCTGTCTCACAGAAATCACACTGCAGCTGGGTGAGGAAGAGGAGGAAGAGATGGTGGAAAGAGTGATTTCAGCTCCAATGTGCACGATGGATACTGTTCCAGCAGTCCAATCAATCCGTGGGTTCTTGGATGAAAGCCAATCACGCCCGGGGATTGGATGATGCTCTTGCAGACGAAGAGGGAGTGTGGGGAGGGTGTGGGGGTGGCGGGTGTGACAAGCCAGCACCCGTCCCTCCACCTTTCCTCTCCCCCCCCTGCTGCTCCTACTGCAGTGGGGTGGGGGGGGGGAAGGATGAGGGAGTGGCAGGGGTGACCAGACAGCTCCAGCCCGTCTCCTCACTCTTCCTGCCACCCCTCCTGGGGTGAGTGGGGGTGGGGGAAGGTGAGGGGGTGACAGGGGTGACCTGACAGCCGCCCGAAGCTACTTTTGTTCTCTTTCTTTGTGTGTTTCCGATGGGCATCTCTGATTCACTTATTGCTTGTCCTACTTGCTGTGTCTGCTTGCCTGCCTTGCGCCTACTAGCCGTTCGCGGTTAGTTGCTGCCTGGGCAGTCGCCGAGCGCCAACCTACTTGCGCTATTTGCTGCAGGCAATCAGGGGGTGTGTCAAACTATATATTCTCACGAAACGTGCACAACAGAATGATGAAACTAGAAAAGCAAGGCAGTACAAATATGACAAACCTAACAGAGTTATACTCACTAAAGAGCACCTCACTATAGCCTATAACAAATAATAACATCATCACTTCCTCCCATCATCACTTCCTCCCATCACCACTTCCTCCCATCATCACTTCCTCCCATCATCACTTCCTCCCATCACCACTTCCTCCCATCACCACTTCCTTCCATCACCACTTCCTCCCATCACCACTTCCTCCCATCACCACTTCCTCCCATCACCACTTCCTCCCATCACCACTTCCTCCCATCACCACTTCCTCCCATCACCACTTCCTCCCATCACCGCTTCTTCCCATCATCGCTTCCTCCCATCATCGCTTCCTCCCATCACCACTTCCTCCCATCATCACTTCCTCCCATCATCACTTCCTCCCATCACCACTTCCTCCCATCATCACTTCCTCCCATCACCACTTCCTCCCATCATCACTTCCTCCCATCATCACTTCCTCCCATCACCACTTCCTCCCATCATCACTTCCTCCCATCATCACTTCCTCCCATCATCACTTCCTCCCATCATCGCTTCCTCCCATCACCACTTCCTCCCATCATCACTTCCTCCCATCATCACTTCCTCCCATCACCACTTCCTCCCATCATCACTTCCTCCCATCACCACTTCCTCCCATCATCACTTCCTCCCATCATCACTTCCTCCCATCACCACTTCCTCCCATCATCACTTCCTCCCATCATCACTTCCTCCCATCATCACTTCCTCCCATCATCACTTCCTCCCATCACCACTTCCTCCCATCATCACTTCCTCCCATCATCACTTCCTCCCATCACCACTTCCTCCCATCATCACTTCCTCCCTGCATCACTTCTTCCCTGCATTCCTCCCTTCCGCCCTCCCCCCTTTTTCGTTTTTTCGGATCAAACTTCTTTCTCCCATCCTTTTTTCCTCCCTGCATCATTTCCTACAGTATTTCGTTATTTCCCTCTCACCCTCTTCCTGTCTCCTCCTTTCCCTCACCCCCCCTCTTCCGATCCCTTTCCCTCTCACATCGTCCTATCTTCCCCTGTCCCTTCCCCCCTGATTCCCTCTTCCCCCTCTTTCCCCGCTTTCCCCTCCCCATCGCTCGTATTCTCTTTCTCTCCCTGGCTATTGCAGTGACTACACTGATGATTTTTCTGGTGCTGCAACTCGCTCAGAGGCCCATCATCCCATGCCATGCTCGTAGAGAAAACAGTTCCCTTCATGTTTCTTTCGAAGATTTGGAAAAGGTACAATCAAAAGTATTGTGCACATGCCTTTTTGTACCCTTCTGACACTCTTAGTGTCCATCAATCTTGGAAGAATATCTTGCACTGCAGAAACAAAATTACATACGGTACGGTATTATGCCTTTGAGATCCATCTCTTCAACAAAAATACAGTCTCATGCATGCATACAACACACAAGACAGGTGATGGTACGATGCAAAGCATAGACTAGCTGCGCCTCAGCTTGCTCCTCTGCTTCACCACTGAAAAATAGGGGAGATTGGAGTAGGCAGAAAGATTCGTGTGAAGAAACATGGGGGAGGTGGTGTGAGGTGCAAGGGAACAACGGCAGGGGAATACACACAAGCACACATAATGAAAGCATGTATGGGGAGACACTAATGGGTGCACATGCATGGGTATTAGAGGGCGGAAGGTGAGGAGTGAGGGGGAAGGGTAGGGCATGAAAAGGAAGGGAAGGGTTGTGAACGGCTGGGGGAGGGAAGGGCGGAGCAGGGAGGAAAAGGCAGGGATGGGGAGGGCACGTGGGAACAGGGCAGAGGGTGCAGGAGAGTGAGAGTGCGAGAGGACGGAGGGAGAGAGTGCAGGAGGAAGGAGAGTGGGGGAAGGAGGGTGGGAGGAAAAGGCAGGGATGGGGGTTCCTAGGTGGGAACAGGGCAGAGGGTGGGGGAAGGAGAGTGAGAGTGCGAGAGGATGGAGGAAGCAGGGAAGGGGATAGGGGGAAGCAGGGAAGGGGATGGGGGGAAGCAGGGAAGGGGATGGGGGGAAGCAGGGAAGGCGATGGGGGGAAGCAGGGAAGGGGATGGGGGGAAGCAGGGAAGGGGATGGGGGGGAGCAGGGAAGGGGATGGGGGGAAGCACGGAAGGGGACGGGGGGAAGCACGGAAGGGGATGGGGGGAAACACGGAAGGGGACGGGGGGAAGCACGGAAGGGGATGGGGGGAAGCACGGAAGGGGATGAGGGGAAGCACGGAAGGGGATGGGGGGAAGCACGGAAGGGGATGGGGGGAAGCACGGAAGGGGATTCGGGGAAGCACGGAAGGGGATGGGGGGAAGCATGGAAGGGGATGGGGGGAAGCACGGAAGGGGATGGGGGGAAGCAGGGAAGAGGACGTGGGGAGCGAGGGAGATGCCGGGGAGAGAGCTGGGGGGAGGACGGTGGGGAGCAGGGCGATTGATGGGGGGAAAAGGGAGAGATGTATGCAGTGTGGGGGTGAAAGGCGATTATTCGGGAGTGGGAAGGGTGCATGTGCAGGTGGGAAAGGGGGCGTGACAAGTGTGCGAGATGAGAAGGGAGAAGGGAGGGATGGCGAGGAGAGCGAGGAGTGGATGGGAGGGCGACGGGGAAAGAGAGGGCGACGGGGGGAGAGAGAGACGGGGATTGTGAGGGGACGAGCGGGAAGGAGGGCGACGAGTGACAGAGAAGCGACGAGACGAAGGGGGGCAACGGGGGGAAGGGAGCGCGACGAGGGAAAAGAAGGGCGGCGGGCGGACGGGAAGGCAACGGGAGGAAGGGAGGGCGACGAGACGAAGGGAGGGCGACGAGACGAAGGGAGGGCGATGGGCGGAAGGAAGCGCGACGAGGGGAAGGAAGGGCGGCAGGCGGAAAGGAGGGCGATGGGTGGAAGGGAGGGTGACGGGCGGAAGGGAGGGTGACGGGCGGAAGCGAGGGCGACGGGCGGGGAAGCGGCGAGGGCGACAGGCGAGGCGAGGGTAGTGGGCGGGGGAAGCGAGAGTGACGGGCAGGGGAAGCGAGAGCGACGGGCGAGGGAACCGACCTCGACGGGCGGCGAGGCGGCGAGGGCGACGGGCGGGGTGAGGGCAGTGGGCGGAGAAAGCAAGGGCGACGGGCGAGGGTCGCGAGGTAGGCAAAGCGCTCTCTCATCTCCTCACACCCATTTTCTCCGTGCTTCGATTGCGTATACAAGCTACACCTACTAATTCCGGTTGTCTAAATGGCGCTCACTCTAAAACCCTAGCTGGTGTGCGATGGTCGGATACTAATAGCGAGTGAATGAGTATGTTAGCTTTTTCTGTCGCACCAGTTTTTTTATGCTGTTCTTTCCCTCTAGGGTTGGTATGCGGGTTGCCTGCGAACTGTTTGCCTCACGGGAGAGCCGCATCAGGTTTCGCTAACCTGCCACCTTTCGCAATTCCTCCGCACCTCATTTTTTGCCCGAACCCCGGACCTACCAAACCAAGCGTTGACTCAGTTTTTGTAATTCAGGTTGCGGGTTTTAAAACTTTACGAAGTGGGGTGTGCAAGCTTTGAAAGGCAGCGCACCTGCAATTTGGGACTTTGGAGAGCTGACACAACCCCCAGGGCGAAATAGGCGGGTTGGCTGGGTTTGGCGAAAAAACGAAATGCCTGAAGTCGGAATCACTCGCCAAAACCCAAACCAGAATACAATCTCACCGAGCCAAGCTAAGGACGTGTCTCACTTACAGGAGTCCGCGAGCCGGTCCGCTCCTGGAAATGTTGCTCCCCAAAACCGTGGACTGGTCCGCTGGACCAGGTGAGGACTGAACTGGCGAGCCAGCTTCGGACAGGTCCGCTGATGAAATCCACAGTGGCGTGCAGGCGAGAACACGATCTGTTTTTCCCAACACTAGGTTAGAATGACCCGTGAGGGCTTCCTGACATTGGACAAGCCGCCATCGCGCGCTGCCAAGTCTTGTGACACTTGTGGGGTGAGTTCGTTAGTATTCGTGAAAAGCATGACTCTTCGGGAGTCCGACGTGGACCAGATCGACGAACCAGACTAGACTCCCCATTACATTCCTTTTCCGTCGTTAAAACATGCGGGTCCACGCTCGGGTCCGTGGTGGTTTGGTGGACTGGTCCACGTCGACCGCCTAGATCCAGTGTGAACCGAAGATTTTGAGACACCTTTTAACTCAGATTTAGCAAATAAGGGCCGCGTCTAAGCAAAGTAACAACTCAGGGTACGCTCCGTAGGAAGCATACGGGAAATCTTCTTTCACAAGCAAACTAACTCATAGTTAGTGCTCTCGCTCACTCTGGCTTTTGGGGTGAAACTCAATACACTACTCAGAGTGCGATTCGAGCAGGGTAAACGTAGTATAACATCATTTCGGCAAATTTTCTGAAACGTTCACCCCGCCCGACTAGCTCCCACCAATCTCATTTCTCAAATTTTAACCATTTTGCCGTATATGTTATGTTTTATGCGATCGGGGCAATTAGGGCACAACCTGAAAAGTTTTACCATAGAGCTTTCAAGAACCCCCACGCAACTTCCTTAACTCAGAGTTAGAAAGGGCCACAGATCACCCACATGAGTTACTACTCAACATTCACACGAGCGTAATGATGCCTTGTCGGTGTACTCACCCGAGCCTACACAGCTCGGTAACTCAGAGCTAGCTAACTCTGAGTTAGGGCCACAGATTAGGGCCTACATGTTTAATTTCGCGCCCCTTAGGCATGGGTGTTCCATACTGCGCAAAACAAAATACGAGGGCGATAATTTGTGCCAGGATGTTCAGAAGTGGAAAAATCAACTGCAAGACCCAGCGCCCAATTTTCCAACCCACGGCTCAAACATTTTTCAGAGTGGGGTGTGCTTCTCTGCTTGGAATATTTACGTGATGTATTTTGCATTATGCAAAAACAACACCAGCTCAGCAATCATCGTCATCAGGATGGTTACAACCAGTCTCTGCATCGCTACCGTCTGCGCATTCTACCTCTAACACTATTTCCTTGCCTTTTCTTACACAGGGCCAGACAAGCGCAGGTGTCTTTGCAAGACGTCTCTTCTTCTACTTTCGCCAGATGTCTACGACCTCTGGCTAGTCGGATATTCGAGCATGTGCAGTGTCATCAATTCGCCGAGGCGAGCATCGCGACGAGTTGTGTGAATCAAACTCTTGACAATGTTTTACCAACTGAAGCTACGCCCACATTCTACTGTATTGAGCGGCAGCAAAGCCAGAGCCTGCCACATGGTCCTGAGGTTGGGGAAGCTTCGTGGCCAGTCCTTTGCTTTCATCATGTTTTGCAGTCCCTTGTTAAAGTCTTTGTATGCGTGATGCCGGGACATGACGTGACAAGAGCTCTTCGGCTCCAACTCCGTGCATCCTAGGTCTCGGGACAGAGGGTGTAACAACAAGGATGGAGTGCTGTAATTGACCAAAGCTTTAACTAAATGGGGGCTGAGAAGCATGTAGACAATGTCAAGTTTTTTGTCTTGGGCAAATGCAAAAAACCCTGTAAAAATAGGGGACGCAGCTTCTAGCTTCCCGCCAAACAGTTCCGCGTTCTTTGCCAGGCACTCCATGCACCGCCGCTCACGTTGCTACAACTTTAACAGCCACACTTCCACATTGAATAGCTTCGAGCCGCCCATTTGCTTGAGGTGCCATATGTGCACATTCAAGTTGCCGACAAATTTTCGCAAATGCCGTGCACAACTTCACGCATTCTCCAAACGATCCTCCGAACTTATGCCACGTGATCGGTCCTTCACTCAAGCGGAAACGATGCGTTGTGGGCTGCCCATCCTCGTTGATGCTTGTTGTGCGATCCACTTATTTGGTGAACCGTGTGATATCCATCTGGTAAGAAAGGGGCACGTAAGAATAGTCAATTGAACATATAGGTTATACACTATAAACCATAAGTAAGTTACCGGGAATCAACAACTCAAACGTACCTTACGTCTCTGGGAAACCCGCTTGTGCGCGTTCATCTCCCCTAACGGGTCTCTCAAAAAGTACGGATAGAAAGGGAACTTCAGTGTCTGCTTTGTCGCCACCATTTTGTGCCGGTATTCGATGATGACCACGTTAGCTGCCCTAGAACTCAGCACATATGATTCGTTGCCTCGCCTCAAGATAACCACCAGATGCCAAGCAGGCCGCCATGCTCGAGGTCGGTGCATGTGATATCTTGTTGGAGATCCTTGTATCGCTTGAACCAGATAGAAGAGTGCCCCACAATCTCTCCCAGTGCTCGCACCGCGGAGTCGACCATGTCGAAGTCTGGGTATTGTGCGAGGGTAGGCTTTGCTGGAGGGATCGTTTTCGGCGTCACCCGCCTCCTAAAGGCGCCATGGCTTGAGTGAGTGTCTAATGCTACAGATGGGGATGGCAAGAATGAACGCAGAGGTGTGATCTTGGTGATGCGATAAACCAGACTGTGCTTCAGCTATCTCACTTGGGCCTTTGTTGCCTAACGTGCACGGGAAAAAAAACCCATGTGACCAACCACGCTAGAGATGCGGTCCGTAGTGTCAGATATATATGACTTAGTCTTTGTAGGCTCTAGTGGGGTAGTCACTAAGGTGTACAGGTTTCTAGATTTTCATGTTTGTATCCAACATTTTCCTAATTCAATCATTCCTCATTCTTCACATGGTATAGAGCGGGTTCCCTAGTGGGACCGTTTCTTCCTAAGGGCCCACCTTCGATTTTTTTTTAGCCTGCCCGAAGCGCGCTTCGCATCCTGCCCGAAAATTTTGCGGCCCCCCCCCCTTAGTGGCCTGCCCCTTAACGGCCCCTTAGTGGCTCCTTCGCGGCCCCCTTAGCGGCCCCCCATTCGCGGCTCCTTCACGGCCCCTGTCATGACCCCTTAGCGGCCCCTCGCGGCCCCTCCTAAGGCCCTTCGCGGCCCCCTCTTCGCGGCCCCCTCACGGCCCTTCGCGGCCCCTTCGCGGCCCTTCGCGGCCCCCTCACGGCCCTTCGCGGCCTCGTCGCGACCCTTCGCGGCCCCCCTCTCGGCCCTTCGCGGCCTCTCCGCGGCCCTTCGCGGCCCCTTCGCAGCCCCTCTGCGGCCCCTTTGCGGCTCTTCGCGGCCCCTTCGCGGCTCTTCGCGGCCCTGCCGCTCAGTCGTCGCCGCCCCAGCAGCAACTGCCGCTTCCGCCACGGCCGTTCGCCGCCACCGCTACTGCCGTGACGGCCGCCGCCGCTGCTGACGTGACAGCCGCCGCCGCTCCTGCCGTGACAGCTGCCGCCGCTGCTGCTGAGACAACCACCGCTGCCGCTGCCGTGACAGCCGCCGCCGCCGTTCGTCGTGGCCGCCGCCATTCCTCGCAGCCGCCGCCGCCGTCCCGGCCCTAACCTGCAGCCGAGTCGCGGCCCTGCTCTGCCGCCCTGTCGCGGCCCTGATCTTGCCGGCGCACCTCGGCCTTGCCCCACCACTTGCGCGCTTCTACCCACCCGCCCCTGGTAAGCGCACCGCCGAGCCGCGCCCCTCCTGCTGCTGCTACTGCTAACCTGCTTCTTCTACTGCTTCTGCTAGCCTGCTGCTGCTGCTATCATGGCTAGTCCCAACGTTCTTACCTTTGATGCTGAGGGTCGAGCGGTAGACTTTGAGGTCTGGATAAATGATCTGCAGCTTTTCCTGCAGTGCGATATCAAACACGACCTCTCACTGTTCGACCTCACGTCTGGCGCCTCTACAGCCCCTGCTGCCGATGCTGACAGTACTATGCGCTCACAGTGGACCACACGCGATGCTGCTGCCCGTCTTGCTGTGCGTAGTCACTTGCCGTCCACTGAGCGCGCGCACTTAGCCAGTACAAGACTGCTAAGACCTTGTACGACACTGTAGTTGCACGCTACTCCTCCCCTGCCACTGCTGCCCTTAGTCGCCTCATGCTGCCGTACCTGTTCCCTGACCTCGCCGCCTTTGCCACACTCACTGACCTTATTACACACCTCCGCACTAGTGACACCCGCTACCGCGTTGCGCTTCCTGCCGAGTTCTGTGCCAAGAACCCCCCCCCTATGTACATCACCCTCTACTACCTTGTCACCCGACTCCCTGACTCCCTTCGCTCCGTCAGGGACCACTTCCTCTCTGTTTGCCCCACCACACTCACCGTTGACCTCCTCGAGGAGCGCCTCCTTGCAGCTGAG